GATATGGGAGAGGATGTGAAAACAATGGTGAGAAAGGCAGAGGCGCGTATAGCAAAGTTTCCCGATATAAAATTGGAATACATTGCCTGGAGAAACGCTTCAACATTGAAACCAGCGACCAAGTACAATCCGGAAGCTGAACAAGTGTTGCTGATTGCTGCCTTTGTTGGCGGTGTGCGCCTAATCGATAATATGTTGGTGAATCCCAAATCTTAAATCATAAAATCATAAATGCAATGAATATCCTTTTGTTAGGTAGCGGTGGACGAGAAAATGCTTTTGCATGGAAATTGAAACAAAGTCCGCTTTGCGAAAAGCTCTTTATTGCTCCGGGGAATCCAGGCACAGCTGCATTTGGAGAGAACGTGAATATCAGCGCCACCGATTTTGATGCGTTGAAGGCATTTGTGTTAGCCAATCAAGTGCAAATGGTAGTGGTTGGTCCGGAAGATCCATTGGTAAAAGGTATATACGATTTTTTTGCGAATGATGAACAATTGCAGTCGATTCCGGTGATTGGTCCTTCGAAAGTGGCGGCACAACTAGAAGGCAGCAAGGCATTTGCCAAGCGCTTTATGGAGCGACATCAAATTCCAACTGCCGGTTATCGCGAATTTAACTTAGAGAATTTAGAAGAAGGCTTGCGCTATATTGATCAGAACAGCGGGCCGTATGTATTAAAAGCCGATGGATTAGCCGCAGGGAAAGGAGTGCTGATTATTGAAGACCAACAAGAGGCGAAAGAGGCGTTGCGCGAAATGATTGCGGAGAGTAAATTCGGGAAAGCTAGCGATACTGTAGTAATTGAGCAGTTTCTGAAAGGAATAGAATTTTCTGTGTTTGTGATGACCGATGGTGCTAATTATAAACTGTTGCCGAATGCGAAGGACTACAAGCGGGTAGGAGAAGGAGATAAAGGCTTGAATACAGGCGGCATGGGCGCTGTTTCTCCGGTACCTTTTGTTACCGAAAAATTAATGGAGCGGGTGGAGCGTACGATTATTCAACCAACAGTAAATGGATTGGCTGCTGAAAAAATCATCTACAAAGGCTTTATTTATGTGGGGTTGATTTTAGTAGGCAATGAACCGTATGTGATTGAATACAACTGCCGCATGGGCGACCCGGAAACAGAAGTGGTGATGCCGAGATTAAAATCGGATTTGGTGGAATTGTGCGTAGCTATTGGTAACGGAACATTGAATACAAAAGAAGTAGAAATTGACACGCGTGCTGCTACAACAGTGATTTTGGCTTCCGGTGGCTATCCTGAAGATTTTGAAAAAGGGAAAACAATTGCCGGATTGGCTGAAGCTGCTGCTATGCAGGATGTGCTTGTGTTTCATGCCGGTACAAAACGCGAAGACGATAACATTGTGACCAGTGGAGGACGTGTATTGGCGATAACGGCCTACGGAGCAAATGGAAAAGATGCTGTTTCAACAGCATTAAAAGCATCCGCACAAATTCAATTCGAAAGGAAGTATAATCGGAACGATATTGGGTATGAGTTTTATTAAACGGTGCACTAAAACCCCGTCAGGGTTCTAAACCCTGACGGGGTTTTAGAATATTACATGTAAATATAATTATCCCAAATACGGCCTTAACGCTCTATTCCTTGAACTCGATCGCAATTTAATAATCGCCTTGTCTTTGATCTGACGAATTCGTTCGCGGGTAATGCCAAGCGTGTCGCCAATATCTTCTAGCGTCATTGCATTTTCAACACCAATACCGAAGAATAATTTAATCACATCTCGTTCCCGTTCTGTAAGCGTAGATAGTGTTCTGGTTGTTTCTTGTTGTAATGATTCTTTGTAATCTACACCTTCATCAGCCAATTCAGCGTTCGGATTATCCAACACATCGATCAAAGAATTGCTTTCTCCCTCTTGGAAAGGCGCATCCATAGATACATGTCGGCCGGCCAAATCAAGTGCTCCTAATACATCGTCTAAACTGATGCCTAAGTAAATGGAAACTTCTTCCGGTGTAGCTTCTCGTTGATATTTCTGCTCCAATTCCGAAAACGTTTTATTGATTTTCGAAACCAAGCCCACTTTATTCAACGGTAAGCGCACAATACGTGAGTGCTCTGCCAATGCCTGAATTATCGACTGACGAATCCACCACACAGCATATGAGATAAATTTAAACCCTCGGGTTTCATCGAATTTTTGTGCGGCTTTCACTAAGCCCAAATTCCCTTCGTTAATTAAGTCGTTTAACGAAAGGGCAGAGTTTTGATATTGTTTCGCTACCGATACCACAAAGCGGAGGTTCGCACGTGTAAGTTTGTCTAAAGCACGTTGGTCGCCCTCACGGATTCTACGAGCCAATTGCACCTCTTCTTCGGCCGTTATCAATTCTTCTTTGCCTATTTCAAGCAAATATTTTTCTATCGACTGACTTTCTCGGTTCGTAATTGATTTGGATATCTTCAGCTGTCTCATAGTTTCACAAATACATTAGTTAACAAATCGGGTTAGCAGAGAAAAACGCGCAATTCTTTTGCCAACTTGATTATTAGAACGCTTTAGACATCAAAAAGTTGCTTCTTGATTGTCATGAAAATGTCAAAAAATAGTTAAAGGGCTGTATTGGTAGCTATTCTGCGCCTTGTTCCAAAGCTCCTTTTGCGATGAGATATTGACCGGAGATGTATAAAACCATAATCCAAAAACCGGACATGAAAAGGTTGCCGTTAAACAAAAATTTATTTAAAGCGATAATCGAATCCGAAAACATGAACAATAAAGCGCCTGCAAAAGCCAATGCAAAACTCTTTTCATTTACACGACCATATCGATTTACTGCAAACACTACCATAGTGGCAATAGCTAATGAATAAACAGCAACTGGGCCTTTCATCTCGCCAGGCACATTCCCGAAGAACGAATACAATAGCAGAATGAAATAGGCAAGCAAAGGCACCAATACCCAGAGTTTTTTCGGCAACAATGCTTCCTTATTTTTGAACGTAACATTCGCAAAACATAACGCATATAAAATGTGCGCCACTAAAAAGCTGCCAAGTCCCAACAAGAAAAATATTTCTTGATTAAACGGAATCATCAAGAACACATCGCCTAACCATGAAAAGAAAAAGGCAATTAAGAATTTTTTGTGAAATGGACTCACCGGTTTATTGATATTGTTGTAATAGAATAACATTAAAACAGGCATCAGTAAAGGCTTAGAGACGAATTTCAAAAGTTGATTGCCGGTAACTTCCGATGCGATTTCCAATAGCGCTACCACTAAGTAAACAATAGCTAAATTCATGATGTGTTGGTTTTGAGATTAAGCAGTTTCCAAAATACAATAATTAAACTTACATATCAAAAATGGTTTTTTTATCATTGAAGAGGAAATGAATACTACAGACACAATTAATTTTTTAAGCAAAACTTCTGTTCGAAAAATCGCGAATGCTGGGTTGATTTTGTCTTCATATTATATGTCGAAATGGCTAAAAAGGCCTATTCAATGGGGGTTGCCCATTACCATTTCTATTGAACCCACTACACAGTGTAATTTAGAATGTCCCGAATGCCCAAGTGGCGTGAAATTTTTCACTCGTCCTACAGGTTACATTGGTATCGATTTGTTTCGGCAATTGCTCGATCAAACCTATTCGCATTTGCAGTACATGTATTTCTATTTTCAAGGTGAACCGTATTTACATCCACAATTTTTTGAATTAGTGCAAGCGGCTGCACAGCGAAATATTTACACGGTTACTTCTACTAATGCGCATTTTTTAGGCAAACGAAAAGCAGAAGAAACAGTAAAGAGTGGGTTAGACAGAATCATTATTTCGATTGATGGAACAACACAAGAAACGTATTCCAAATATCGTATTGGCGGGAGTTTAGAGAAGGTGTTGGAAGGGACAAAAAATTTAGTGGAAGCCAAAAAAACACAGCAATCGAAAACACCACACATTATTTTTCAATTTATTGTGATGCGCCACAACGAGCATCAAATGGAAGAGGCAAAACAACTGGCAAAAAGTATTGGCGTAGATGAATTGAAATTCAAAACAGTGCAGGTTTACGACTTTGAACACAATGCTGAATTAGTGCCGCTGAACGAGGCTTTTTCGCGCTATGAGATTAACACCGCTAACGCAACCATCAAAAATAAATTATTGAATCATTGCTGGAAGTTGTGGCATTCGTGTGTGATGACTTGGGATGGAAAAATTGTGCCTTGTTGTTTCGATAAGGATGCGTCACATCAGTTAGGGGATATCAAAGAAGATTCGTTTTCTGCCATTTGGCATAGCGATGCTTATCGAAATTTTAGGGCGAAAATTATTCGTTCTCGCTCGTCTATAGATATCTGTACCAACTGCTCAGAAGGTACTACGGTTTGGGTAGAGTAGCACATAGCGAAAAGCAAAATCAAAAAAACACTTGTAAGCGCTATTGAATAATTTTTATTTTTGCATATTCGCCCCTTAGTTCAATGGATAGAATAGAAGTTTCCTAAACTTTTGATGCAGGTTCGATTCCTGCAGAGGCGACATAACGGCTCCGTAGTTTAACGGATCAGAATACTAGATTTCGGCTCTAGTGATGGGGGTTCGATTCCCTCCGGGGCTACAAAAAAAGGGAGTATTAATACTCCCTTTTTTCATTTATGTAACATAAGCATTACCGTTCCACAATCAATTTTTGCTTAACACTTCCTACGTTTGTCTGAATGCTGATTTCATACACTGCAGCAGCAAGTGAAGCTGTTCGAATCATCAATCTATGGTTGTTGTATTCTGTTTCAACTTGAATAATTCGTCCAATAACGTCTGTTAATTGGATATGCTTCAATTGGATGTTATCGGGGATTTCAACATAAACTAATTCGTTGGCAGGATTAGGGTAAACATGTAAACGAATAGTTTGAATAACTGTAACTGATGTTGAAGATTCTATGGTAACACTGCTTTGCGATTCGCAACCATTGGCATCTTTAACAGTAAGGGTATATGTGCCGAGTGCTAAGCCTGTTACAGCAGCAGTTTGTGCTCCGTTGCTCCAAGCATAGATGTAGCTTGGTGTTCCTCCTGAAGCTGATACCGAAGCTGTTCCGTTATTTTGTCCACCAGATGAATTTGTTTTCGATACTGTCAACACAATAGCACTTTTCTCTGTAATGATAACAGAATCGGTTTTCACACAGCCATTCGCATCAATCACTGTTAATGTATATGTGCCTGCATATAGGTTTGATGTTGTATTTGTTTTATCACCATTCGACCAAGTGTAAGCATAACTTGGTGTTCCACCGGTAGTAGTAATAGTAGCGCTTCCATTGTTGCCATTGGCGCATAACACATTAATTTTTTGCATTACGGTGTTGATAGCAGTAGGTGAAGTAATAGTAATGCTATCTGTTTTTTGACAAGCACTTCCATCATAGATGGTTACAATATAACTTCCTGTACTTAAGTTGGATAAGGAGGCTGATGTGCTGCCATTATTCCAAGTATATTGATAATTGCCCGATCCTCCATTAGCAGTGATGGTAATAGCGCCATCGTTGCCATTAAAACAGTTTACATGATTCGCAGAAGCGCTAGATGTTAGCGTATTGTTTGCGCCAACCATTATCGAAGCTGAAGTAGTGCAGTTATTAGCGTCATTCACCGTTACCGAATAGTTCCCTGCAATGAGGTTGGAAGCTTTTGCAGTTGTTTGTCCGTTGTTCCAAATATAACTATATGTTGGCGTACCGCCTGATGTTGTTGCTATTGCGTTGCCGTTGTTAGCAGCACAATTGGCGCTTACTGCAAGCGTAGATGTTGTAAGCGATGTTGGTTGAGTAATAATAATAGTGTCGGTTTTCATACATCCACTTCCATCGGTAGTTGTTAAGTAATAGGTTCCTGCCACAACATTTGAAATAGAATTGCTTGTCACTCCGTTGCTCCAGCTATAGTTGTAATTTGGTGTCCCTCCGCTAACATTTACTGATGCACTGCCCGTGTTATCGCCAAAACACTTATTGCTTACAGCAAATTTAGAGACCGTGAAAAGCGCTGAACCATTTATTGTGGTACTATTTGCGGCAGTACAGTTTTTTGTGTCAGTTATAGTAACGCTATAAGAACCAGCAGCGAGATTCGTTATAGTATTCGTTGTTTGTCCGTTGTTCCAAAGATAGTTATATCCAGCAGTTCCTCCTGATGCTGTAACCGTTGCTATTCCGTTGGCTACTCCGCAACCTGCATTGGTTGTGTTTAAGCTGGAAGTAATTAGTGTAGGTTGCGAAACGGAAAACGCTTTTGTTGCTGTACAACCTTTTGAATCAGTAACAGTAACAGTATAACTTCCGCTGCTTAAATTCGAAACGGAAGTTCCTGTAGCACCGCCTGTCCATGCGAAGGTGTAGCCGGCAGTTCCTCCACTTCCTGTCACAGAAGCTGCACCATTCGTTCCACCAAAGCAGCTCACAGTCGTTGGTGTAACTGTAGCAGAAGGTAATGAAGTAGGTTGCGAAACAGAAAATG